GCCCGCCCGGTACAACGCTTCGTGGCCTCATAGGGAGCTCCGCCGCAGCACCAAGTGGGACCGTCCGCACGTGCACCGAAAACTTAATTTTGCATTCTCACCCACCCAGTACAGCGTTTCGCGGCCCCATGGGGGGTTCCGCCGAAGGCCCCAGTGGGACCGCCTGCGTGCGTCCCACACGCCCAATTTGGCACTTTCACCCACCCAGTACAGCGTTTCGTGGCCCCATAGGGAGCTCCACCGAAGCCCCCAGTGGGACCGTCCGCATGCGCCCCGAAAGCCCAATTTGACATTTTCACCCACCCAGTACAGCGCTTCGTGGCCCCATAGGGAGTTCCACCGAATCCCCAAGTAGGACCGCCCGCATGCGTCCCACACACCCAATTTGGCATTTTTTCGCCCACCCAGTAAGGAGCTCCACCGAAGCTCCCAGCGGGACTGCCCGCATGCGTCCCGTAATTACACCCAATTTGGCGTTTTCGCCCACCCAGTACAGCGTTTCGTGGCCCCATAGGGAGCTCCACCGACGGCCCCAGTGCTACCGCCCGCATGCGTTCCCCCCCCACTCAGTGCAGCACTTCGTGGCCCCATAGGGAGCTGCACCGAAGAAGAGATTCACTATTTCGGTGCCCACAACTGCATATGATTGGGCCCTTCGCCAGGAAAATTTGTTTCTCTCTCTTTTTGTTTCTCTCTCTCTCTCTCTGTCTTTCACTCTCTGTACAAACACAGACCTACATGCATACACATGCATATCGTTGCTGCGTGTTGCTGTTTATGTGTTCTTTCTCCCTTTCTCTATATTTGGGTGCGCCGAATTATTTCGCCAATCCCGATGCTCCTGCTCCCTCAAACCTCCACCCCGACCAACGCTCCAATCTCTCTGCCTCTCCCCACTTCGCGCTCGCTAACCGGCCCCCAATGTGGCCGACTCTGTTTCGTCGGCGAGCCCCGGGGCGGGCCTTCTCAGAAGGCTCAGAAGTCCTACGACCTTCTGACAAGTTTTCGAAGCTTTCCCCGAAGACGGTGAACAAAGACGAGAGGGCTTCTGAGAAGCCCCGCCGCCTTCTGAGAAGGCTCTCTCTCTCTCTCCTCCTCACCTCCCCCCCCCCTCGCTCCTCGCCGTCTGGAGCCCCTGCGCCCGAACATGCTGGCGTCTCGCTCTTACAGTCGACCCGCAGAGTAAGGACGCGCGATAAGGATGCAGGGGCCCTGGAAGCCCATTTCGAAGCTGCTCGAGCGGGGCGCGGCCAACGAGAGCGTCCAAGGATGGACCCGGGAAGCCAGGGATGCGAGGCTACCCTTTTGGGGGGGGGGGATGCCTGCCCTCACTCTGCGGTGCCGACTGTGCTCCTGCCGCCTCCCGCCCGCCGACCCGCCGGCACACTGGGAGGAATCTGGCGGTAAATCGTAAAATATTTCAGACGCGTGAAGGAAAAGCTCGAAGAATACGTGTTTTTTATTTTACATGTTCGTTTCGTGGACCTAGCTCGAGTCCCAGACCGAAATGAACAAACAACTAGAAATCTTAGGAAAACCGAAAGTTGTCACATTGTGCCGGGAGCGATCGGCGGCACCGAAGAGGGTACGGCACCGTCTGTGGAGCAGGGGCCGACCGTCCCGGCATTCCTGTGGTCCCACCACGAAGTGTTCCTAGAACCCCAAAAAGGTTCCAAGAACAAGAAGCAGTGTTCTTAGAACGTGGGCCCGATGTGCTGAAGCAAGACCATCTCAGCCAGAAAGGTTCTGAGAGCATCTCGTGGAAGCCACACAAAAGTTCTCAGAACACTGCTCGGTAGGGCCATAGGCGAGCCGGGACGCTCCGCCACTGCTTGGTTCTGCATCGCCCCACCCTGCGGCCGGGAGCGCTTGCTTCGCGCGCGCCGCGGCGGCGGCCCCGGCGACGCCGCGCTGTGCCCTGCGAGCAGCTGGCGCGAAGCGCCGCGCTCCGCGGGGCGGGAGGCTGGGAACACCTCGGGACGTCGACGCCCGGGCATCGAGGAGGAAGGGAGGAGGAGGAGGAGGAGGAGGAGGAGGAGGAGGAGGAGGAGGAGGAGGAGGAGGAGGAGGAGGAGGAGGAGGAGGAGGAGGAGCAGGGCCCGACCGTCCCGCCGTATCTATAGTCCTACCACGAAATGTTCTTAGAACCCAAAAGCGTTCCAAGAACAAAAGCAAGGTTCTCAGAACATATAAACCCGAAATGTCAAAACAAGACAGGCTCCGCCGGAAATGTTCCGAGAACATTTCGCGGAAACCACAACACAAGGTTCTGAGAACATTGTCCGGCAGGGCTATAGGCGAGCCCGGGCGCTTCGCCACTGCTCGAGGGACAGGTGGGCGTGGCCGGCGCGCCGCGCCGAAGCGCAGCGCGGTGGCCCGGGACCCGCGGCGCGGCACGCGAAGTCCACCCTCCCCGACCGCACCGCCTCGCACGGACCGCCCGCCCGCCCCCCGGACCGCCCGCCTGCCCGGGCCCCCTTCGCGCGGGCCCGCGGCGCGCCTGGCCCGCCTTCGAGCCGCCCTCGGCCTGCTGCGGGGGCAGCCGCTCCGGGCCTCCCGGCCCGTCCTGGGCCTCCTCCCTCGCGGCGGCCGCGGCGGCTGCCTGAGCGGGCGTGCAGTGGCGAGGCCCTCCCACACTCTCTACCCGGGAGGCGCTTCCGAATCCCGCCCTCGGCTTCGTGGCTCCTTCGGGGGTCTCGGCCTCCAGGGGCGCGCAAGGCCGCGTCGTTCCTATAGGGGAGTCGTTGGTGGAGCCGTTCGCACTGGAGCGCGCTGGGGGGCACGCGGAAGCGCGGGAGTTGTCTGGGCCACCTGGCGGACACCTCGCAGACTGGCGCGGGAGACCAGAGCAGCAGGAGGAGGAGGAGGAGGAGGAGGAGGAGGAGGAGGAGAACAAAGACAGAGAACAAAAACGGTAGGGGGCGACTCCGAGACCCCGAACGAACGATCGAACGGGAAACCCCGGCATCGATGCCCCTCCGCAGGCATGCGTAGTGCAGGGCCTCGCGATCCGCATGGCCTTGCTTGCCTGCTAGACGCGCCCGGCGAGGGATCAGCGGGGCGCGATGGCACTGGCGGGGGGAAAGCCCGTCGGAGCTCCAGCGCGAGCTCGGGCGGATGCCGACGCAAGAAAACGAGTTGGGGAAAGGGTCGGAGCTCTGGCAGGCCCACGCGGCTGCCCCCACCCCCCCGACCTCGCCACAAACCTTGCGCGTGCCAGCTCCGAGGGGGCAATGTGTCCGCAGCCCTGGGGCGGGGCCCTGCTCTCTTGGGATTATTGTTATTTCCATCCATGAATTTTCCCCGGTGCTCTGCCACAGGGTCCCGCGGTTGAATTCTGAACCCGTGGGTAACTTCCACAACTGTGATGTCCTGCGTTTGGGACATTAAGGAACACGTGATTGTAATTACGTCTGCCGTCCTTTCTGAGCAACTTCCCACCACCACCAAATATTCGGCCGTCGGGCAAGGCTCGTCAGATGAGTCTACGTCTTGTTTCGCAGTTCGGATCATATCCAGGCCAAGGTTGCTGGAAGCTGACGTTTACTTGAAGCTGTGTCGCGGCTTTCAAAAGAAAAACAATGTCTTGACCTCCGTGTTGAGATCAATCATCCCCAGCCGATGATGTGATCTGTGCTGACGAGACAGCCACCCAATACACGCTCTTCGTTGCGGAGCTCCGTGCTCATGTTTATGATCCGTCCAACTAGCGGCAAACTCGGAAGCAGCATTGTGATTGTCATCGGCATCATTGTTTTCTGCATTATCTGTTCCCGAATACTCTGGGTCAGTTGGAACGCGTTGTACAGTATCGCACAATGTTTCTTGACCGTCCAATAAGTCTGTCGAGCTCCTCCTCCGAATCAATCTTTGCAGTACCACAGAAGTCCTTATCATATCCTTCCAGGCCAGGCGGGGGGGCAAGAAACAAACTCTGCAATCTACAAAGTTTCAGAACTTGTATTCTACGTGCATGTGTTCTCCTTGTCCTTTCACCCCCTCTTCCTGCTCGATCGACGATTTTTGTGAGGTCCCACGGGCTTCCCGGGAGAAGCAGGGCGGAACAACCAACATCTGAAGAGAACGCAGTGCAGTAAGCGGACTGTGTGCTAAAGCCCTCCTCCTCTCCCTCGGTCTGCGGGGGCCGACGGCCCTGAGACCTCGTTTGGGCTAACACTCGCGCTCGTCGGGCGAACCGGAATGTGCTCCTGATTCCTCAAACGCTGGCCTAGAAGGAGGAGGAGGAGGAAGATGAGGAGGGGGAGGATGAGGAAGAGGAGAAGGAGAAGGACCAACGTAAACCCAAGACGACTTTATGTCCATTGCTGGAAATGTCCCGTTAGAAAACAACCATCTGAAAATCCCGAACCGTGCCAGAACACCATTCCTGACCTTTGAACGCCGCGAATCCACGTTACTCTTGCGTCCTGACGATTCTGAATAGTGTCAGAACGCCAATCCTGGGACTTCAAACGCCGCAAATCCACGCAACTTTTGCGCCCTGACAGTCCTACATCGTGCTGGGCTCCATTTCTAAGACGTCCACCACAAGAAATGCGGTTAACGGCTGTAGGTATTTAAGGGGGCCACATTACCTAACAGCGAAGACTGATAGGTTTCTAGTGGTGTCAAACGAGAGCATCTGATGACTCAGAAGGGAGGTCTGGGCGGCATCCGGACAGCGAGGGCCGGGCTCAGGGCCGGGCTCGTTTTAAGCAAACAATTACACACTTCGTGCTCTTCGACCTCCCAGAACTCCATTCCCTGGCCACATTTTGAATGCCCGGAGCCAAACTTCGTGCTCTTCGACTTCCCAGAACTCCATTCCCGGGCCACATTTTGGATGCCCAGAGCCAACTGTAGGCCACTTCGTGCTCTTCGACTTCCCAGAACTCCATTCCCGGGCCACATTTTGGATGCCCGGAGCCAACTGTAGGCCACTTCGTGGTCTTCGAGTTCCCAGAGCTCCATTCCTGGGCATGATTTTGAATGCCCGGAGCCAACTGTAGGCCACTTCGTGTTCTTCGAGTTCCCAGAATTGCATTCCCGGGCCACATTTTGAATGCTGAGGCAGGCTGATGCTGAGGCTGAGGCAGGCTGAGGCTGAGGCAGGCTGAGGCTGAGGCCGAGGCTGAAGGCAGACTGAGGCTGAGGCTGAAGCAGGCTGAGGCTGAGGCTGAGGCAGGCTGAGGCTGAGGCTGAGGCAGGCTGATGCTGAGGCAGGCTGAGGCTGAGGCTGAGGCTGATGCAGGCTGAGGCTGAGGCAGGCTGAGGCTGAGGCCGAGGCTGAAGGCAGACTGAGGCTGAGGCTAAAGCAGGCTGAGGCTGAGGCTGAGGCTGAGGCTGAGGCTGAGGCAGGCTGATGCTGAGGCAGGCTGAGGCTGAGGCTGAGGCTGATGCAGGCTGAGGCTGAGGCAGGCTGAGGCTGAGGCCGAGGCTGAAGGCAGACTGAGGCTGAGGCTGAAGCAGGCTGAGGCTGAGGCTGAGGCTGAGGCTGAGGCTGAGGCTGAGGCAGGCTGATGCTGAGGCAGGCTGAGGCTGAGGCTGAGGCTGATGCAGGCTGAGGCTGAGGCAGGCTGAGGCTGAGGCCGAGGCTGAAGGCTGAGGCTGAGGCTGAGCAGGCTGAGGCTGAGGCTGAGGCAGGCTGAGGCTGAGGCTGAGCAGGCTGAGCTGAGGCAGGCTGAGGCTGAGGCTGAGGCTGATGCAGGCTGAGGCTGAGGCAGGCTGAGGCTGAGGCCGAGGCTGAAGGCAGACTGAGGCTGAGGCTGAAGCAGGCTGAGGCTGAGGCTGAGGCAGGCTGAGGCTGAGGCTGAGGCAGGCTGATGCTGAGGCAGGCTGAGGCTGAGGCTGAGGCTGATGCAGGCTGAGGCTGAGGCAGGCTGAGGCTGAGGCCGAGGCTGAAGGCAGACTGAGGCTGAGGCTGAAGCAGGCTGAGGCTGAGGCTGAGGCAGGCTGAGGCTGAGGCTGAGGCAGGCTGATGCTGAGGCAGGCTGAGGCTGAGGCTGAGGCTGATGCAGGCTGAGGCTGAGGCAGGCTGAGGCTGAGGCCGAGGCTGAAGGCAGACTGAGGCTGAGGCTGAAGCAGGCTGAGGCTGAGGCTGAGGCAGGCTGAGGCTGAGGCTGAGGCTGATGCTGAGGCAGGCTGAGGCTGAGGCTGAGGCTGATGCAGGCTGAGGCTGAGGCAGGCTGAGGCTGAGGCCGAGGCTGAAGGCAGACTGAGGCTGAGGCTGAAGCAGGCTGAGGCTGAGGCTGAGGCAGGCTGAGGCTGAGGCTGAGGCAGGCTGATGCTGAGGCAGGCTGAGGCTGAGGCTGAGGCTGATGCAGGCTGAGGCTGAGGCAGGCTGAGGCTGAGGCCGAGGCTGAAGGCAGACTGAGGCTGAGGCTGAAGCAGGCTGAGGCTGAGGCTGAGGCAGGCTGAGGCTGAGGCTGAGGCAGGCTGATGCTGAGGCAGGCTGAGGCTGAGGCTGAGGCTGATGCAGGCTGAGGCTGAGGCAGGCTGAGGCTGAGGCCGAGGCTGAAGGCAGACTGAGGCTGAGGCTGAAGCAGGCTGAGGCTGAGGCTGAGGCAGGCTGAGGCTGAGGCAGGCTGAGGCTGAGGCTGTGACTGCGACTGCCGTTGCCACGGCGACTGCCATCGCGAATGCGACTACGACTGCGAGAACAGCAAAATTCTACAACAACATTCTCATCTGAATCTTAAGGGGAATGCTTCCAGATATGCTCCTACACATCGCTATTAGGTTGCTTTGCCGGGATAATTTTGAAAAGGACCCGCCCACCATCTAGGAAGCTCCTTGAATGGTTAAGACGAGCCGCCCTCCGTCAGCGAAACCCTTGCAAACGTCCAATCCGAATGGTTGCATCTCTAAGGCGGGAACCAACGTCCTCCAGCCGTGACGACCTTGCAAACGTTTCAGAATAATGTGCGCGGCACTGAAGCCAGAACCGCATTTTGATAAGGACGTGTCCTGCCTCCGCGAAACTCATGAAATCATGAAAAAACATAGTCGTGGCGCAGAGGCCAGAACCACATGTTGAACAAATATCCGCGCTCCATCAGTGAAACTCTTGCAAACGTTTCAGACGAATGAGCGCGGCGCTAGGGCGAGAACCGCATCTTGAAAAGGACCCACCCTCCATCAGTGAAGCTCATGCAAACTCATACAACGGCGCTCTGGCGAGAACCACATTCTGAGAATGACACGCCCTCCGTCCGTGAAACGACTGCTGACTTTGAGAACGAATCTGCGCGGCGCGAATGCGAGAACCATGTTTGAACAAATAATCGCCCTCCACCTGTGCAGCTCCCGCAAACCTTTGAAACCGCTGCGCGCGGCACTCCAACAAGAATCACATGTTGAAGAGGGCCCGCCTTTTGTCCGCGCAGCTCTTGCAAATTCTAAGCTTCAGGATCAGAGCTGGCGAGGGAGTCTCAGGCGACGCGCCCCGGGCCGCCCCACTGACACGTCTCGGGGGGCGACAGGGATGCACGATGAATATTAAGTCGGGCGTGTCCCAAAATACTCCAGAAATGCGCAACAAATGCCGAAACAATGCTCAAAACATCGTCCCCTGACTATTTTTTTTTTTCTGTTTTTGAATAT